GCACTAAAGAGGGGAGGGGGCCAAGCTGGGTGCTACAGCCCAACAGGCAAAGGGAGGGAAGCGCGGGACCTGAACGAGCACGGCGGCCGTAGGTTAACAGCAGGCTCAGTGGAGACAGCACAGCGGGCCGAAGCTCCCACCTGAGAGTCCTCATCATCGGACAGCACCATGACCCAGGACTGGCTCCATTTCACAGACAGAAGACGGAGGCTCCTCGCGGCCTCTCAAGATAACACAGAAACAGATGCATGTAGTTTGTTCTTGGGGGCCAAGCTTAAAGATCCAATCTCAAACCAGAGTTAATAGAGGCAAAAGACAATCATTCTAAATAGAGGAACAATTAATAGCAGCAGGGGAGGAAGGGGGTCCTTCCGCTAATTCTGACCTTTAAAAGAAAGGTCTATTTTACATGGCTTCTACTGGTCTCGAAAAGAAGTCACAAAGGCACACCCAGAGATGAAGAGAACACAATCAACACAGTTCAATTTCTCTGGTAAAACTATATCCTCTTCCCCAATTGATAAACGGTCAAAGGATACGAACAGACAGTTCTCAGATGAAGAAATTAAAGCCATCTATAGGTCATACGAAAAAATGCTCTAAATCATTATGGATTAGAGAAATGCAAATCAAAACAACTCTGAGGTACCACATCACACCCATCAGAATGGCCAACATGACAAAACAGGAAAATGATAAATGTTGGAGAAGATGTGGGAAAATTGGAACACTAACACATTGTTGGTGGAGTTGTGAAATGATCCAACCATTTGAGAACAATTTGGAACTATGCCCAAAGGGCTACAAAAATGTGTATACCCTTTGATCCAGCAATAGCACTTCTAGGGCTATATCCGAAAGAGATCAAACAAATGGGAAAAGGACCCACATGTACAAAAATATTCATAGCAGCTCTTTTTGTGGTGGCAAAGAATTGGAAATTGAGAGGATGCCCATCAATTAGGGAATGGCTGAGCAAGTTGTGGTATATGAATATAATGGAATACTACTGTGCTGTAAGAAACGATGAACAGGCTGACTTCAGAAAAACTTGGAAAGACTTGTATGGTCTGATGCTGAGTGAAGTGAGCAGAACCAACAGAACTTTGTACACAATAACAGCCATGTTGTGCAATGACTAATACTGATGAACTTAGCCCTTCTCAGCATTACAAGGATCTAAAATATCTCCAGAGGCCTCATGATGGAAAATGCTGTCCACATCCAAAGAAAGAACTATGAAAGTTGAATCGCTATCATTTTTTTTTCCTATTCTGTTGAGTTTTGTTTCCTCTTTCTGATGGTTCCTCCTAATGGTTTTAATTTTTACTTACAACTTCACTAATGTGAAAATACGTTTAATAGGAATGTAAATGTATAGCCTGCATCAGCTTGTGCACCATCTTGGGGAGGGTGGTGGGGAGGAAGGGGGAGAAAAATTTTAAACTCAAAAGCATATGGAAGTGATTATTGATAAATCAAAATAAACTAATAAAATTTTTTTTAAAAAAGCTATATCCTCCAGAACAGTCTCGAACTAATTAAAAGGGAAAGCCAAGCTTCCAATCACAAAGGCAGCTGAAGCGTGAGATTAGCACATTTGAAAGAATGACAACAAGCCAACAGACCTGTGCTAGCTGGCCACTCACTTAGTGCCCGTGGCCATCCCAAGAGACGGAAGACGATGCTGCCCGGCGCCTCCTTCAGGCAGCCCCAACAAGGCTTCTCCCTGGGAACGAGGCCCAGGACTGCTGGCCCCGTCTTACTTACTAATGCCCCTAGTAAGAAGTGACCCATATTTCCCTCAAAGCAGGATCCAACAATTGAGGAAAGCCCAGGAAAGTATGGTACACGACTGTGCGGGAGTACTGTAAGAAATGAGGCCACAGATTACCAGTAACTTTTTAAAACACTAAAAAAAAGCGAAGGGGTGCCCCAGATGTGGAAGGCTGAATGCATTTTTGGAGGTGACTAGTCTTAGTTTTACTTCATTGTTATAAGAGAGTTCTCACAGGGTGGAGGCAATCTAGAAATGTTTGCAATGTAAAAACAAACATTATCAAAACAAAAAAATTAAAGCAAACAGCTAAATCAGAGAATAATCACAGTCAAAATTCCCCTGCCGACAGCTCCCTGCTGCCTTGCTCCGGAGTGCCCCACCATTTCTTCATCACCCATAAGCCCCAAAAAGGCCCATGTCTCTCCCATCCACAAACCAGCCTCACGTGGTCCTTCCACCCACGCTCACCACTGTCGTCTCTCCCTGCGGCCCTTAGTGGAGAAGACCATCTACACGAGCGCCTCCACTTTCTCTGCTCAGACGACACCGCCCTCTCCAAAGTTATTAACATCTCTGTGGCCAAACCGAATGGGCTCTTCTCGCTGTCAGCCTCTCTGACCCCTCTGCAGCCCTGGACACTGTCCTGCTCCCGCCTCAGCAAACTCTAGATTCTGAGCATTTTCCTTGGCTCTTCCCTCGTGCCCAGGATTCCTTCCCTCCTCCTCTCTGTCTCCTCGTCCCCTCCAAGTTATCAGCTACCATCCAATCCTCGCCAAGAAGCCATTTCTCCTCCCTCTTCATGCCAGGACCTTCCTTCTGCTCATTCTCCTACTTTCTCCTCTATGTCTCTTGTTTGTATCCATTTGTTTTCAGATGGTTTCCCCCTTTAGACCATGAGTTCCTTGAGAGAAGGGGCCATCTTGTGTCTTTCCTTGTATCCTCAGGGCTTAGCATGGTCCACAGCACACAGTAAGTACTTCAAGTGGTAGGGGAGAAGAGTGTTCTGACAAAAAAGCCCCGAGTGTTCTGGGAATTCAAAAGAAAATACTGCTGCTGGGTGGCATGACCCAGCACATGCAGGGACGAGGTGGCATTGAGCTGGACCTCGCTCTTCGCCACCTCTCTCATGCCCAGGCTAGGCAGGACCTCCCTCACCAATCTGCCCTGCACCAGAGCACTGACCACATTGGAACTTGGGTTCTGTTCTCTGAGCTCTTCCCATGCCCACCAGCCTCACACATGCTCCTCGACAGCAGGAATTGATTGATTTCTCGCAGCATAAAGCTTGAAGCCGACTGTATACCTTCACATCCTGCCTGTGACCTGGATGTATTTAGGCATGCTACGGCCAGTCCTGGTTCCCTGCTGCATCCTCAGGCCTTTGGGCCACACGATTCCTTCCTTAACAAATGTCCATGAAATTGATTACTTGTAATAATTCCGTACCACTTTAGGAACATTAAGTGGATTATCTAAATGCATTTGCATTACAAGGAACTGTAGTTCTTTACTTCTTCTTATAAAATGCTGACTGACTTACCATGGCTGACAAATAGCACTTAATAAGTTTACACTACATGAATAACTACATAAAATCTTTAAGGAAAAAAGTATGGTGGGCAAAGGAGTCAAACTGAGATCTGATCAGTTTCTTAACAGAGAATTTTTAAGGAAGAGCTTAAAAAAAATCAAAGAAATAGAAATCTCTGTCTCAAGGCTGACCAGGTTAAAAAATTCTATTAAACCAACTTAGAATAATGGATCTGAATTATTTAGGCTAAAGCAAAAACTGCATGGAAAGGTTTAAAGAGCACTTGCTCTGAGAAAGGGCCCAGGAGCTTCCTGAGACAGTTATGAGGAGGGACAAAGCCATTTCTAAAGTGAGTAAATAACAACAGAGCTGAGAGTACAATGTGTATAGGTACATTACTACCACCAAATTACACATGCATTCTAGACATACATATATACGCACGCGCGCACACAAACACACACGCACACACACACACACACACACACACACACACACACACACACAAAACAGCTCCCACCTCACTCCCCTAGGCACCTGCAGAGTAAAGCACATCAAAGATGAGAGGTGTTTTTCAAGGCTCCAGAAACCCCTGGCCCTGGTGACTCTGTCCTAATTCTTCCCCTGAGCAATGAGGCTGTGGACCTGAGCCATTCCTCCCTGCATTCACCAGCTCCGTGGTGCTGCTGGCCCCACCTCAGGAATGCTGACAGCTCTTTCCTCTGAGGCCTCACACAGAACAAACGTGCAACCCTTCAATCGGCAGGGTGAGTATGCAGTGCTGCTTCCTCTTGGAGGGCTAGGGGCTCTCTCACTGCTAAGGCAGAGACAGCTGCAAACAATCACTCCTCACCACCAACATTCACAGACACTCGAAGGTTTCATTTGGTCCTCAAAACACTCCTGGGAGGAAGTGCTGTCACAATCCCCATTTTACAGATGAGGAAACTGATGGAGACAGAGGTGAAGTGACTTACCCAGAAACATACAACTAGGAAGTGTCTGAGGACAGATTTGAACTCAGGTCCTCCTGCCCCTAGACCCTGTGGCTCTCTCCACTGAACCACCTATGTGGCTGTGGGCAGCTGGCACCTGCCAGCACTGGGCCTGGAGTCAGAAAGACCTGAGTTCAAATCCAGCCTCAGACTCTGCCTAGTTGTGTGACCCTGGGCAAGTAACTTAAGCCTTGCCTGCACAAAACTGGAGAAAGAAATGCAAAACATCCTAGTATCCCTGACAAAAAAACCCCATGGACAGCTGGTGCATGGGGTTTCAAAGAGTTGGACATGGGCGGCTAGGTGGCACAGTGGATGAAGTGCCCGGACCAAGTCGAATCTGGTTCAAATCTAGACTCAGACATTTACTCGCCTAGTAACCCTGAACAAGTCACTTTACCCTGCTTGCCTCAGTTTCCTCATCTGCCAAATGATCTGGAGAAGGAAATGGCCAAGCATTCCAGCGTCTTTGCCAAGAAAACCCCAAGCAGGGTCACCAAGAGTCATTAAGGACAGCAAAAAGCTGCCTAGAGTTAGAGGGGGCACATTGGCACAGCCGGTGCAAATGCAGGCAGAATAAACACTCAAGAAGGTGCTGATAACATCCACTCTCTGGCTTTGCCTAAATTGGGCTCTCATGTCCCACGAACAACAAACCCAGCAGTCACGGCCAGGAGCCCAGAACCATTCTCACCAGTAACTGTTTTTGGTCTTTCTTGGCATCCTCGTCAGAGGGGGATCCAGACAGCCCAGATGATAATGCAGCTTACAGGTATCACACAGTAAAAGGAGATGTTGGTCATGGCTCTTCTTACAAATCCCACAACTGTGAAGAAAGGCAGGGAAAAAAGCATGAAAAGAATAAACTATTCAAAGACAGCCAACCATTTCTAACCATATGCTAAAATGGAAAGTGTTACAAAGACTCCTTTCTATAGGCCATTTCCTTAATTACCAACTTTTATTGCTTTCTTTTTTTTTTTGTAACAGACAACAAACATTTCCTTCACATATGTGTGTTGGGAGGTAGTGATTATTATCAAATTCTCAATACCAATGGGGTCTTCAATGACCAGTTCAAAAGCTTAACTAAGGAACTGTCATATTCAAAATCTTCTAAGAAGGACATAACTATCTGTTACACTTGGCTTAAAGAGTTGGAAATGCATGGTTGCCTTAGATTGATTCCTTAGTGCTGAATAAGATAAGGAAAAAAAAATCCAGAAGGTATGGAAAAGTCCACTCAATTCTCTTATGGACAACATACAGGAAATCCTTCCACATCCAAGGGCCATTTTCCCCAAATATCTTACTATTTGGAATTTATGCTAAAAATAATTCACAGATATCTAAAGACAATCAAAACTGACATATTAAAGAATTTCAGATGTAAACAAAATTCACTTAATTTTCTAACATGAACGTTTGAAATCTAAAAATATTCTTCAACAAATCCTCCCAAGATAACTTAGACAGAAAATGAAGCATTTCCAAATTAAATGCTGGCGTTTAGAAAATAAACCAGTTATTACAAACTGCAAAAGTCAAGTTTTCAAAGACTCTCAGACACCAAACTGTGCAAAACAGATGCAAAGTACCCTTAAGGGGAAGTGATTATAAACAGAAATCAAATGGGATTCTAGCTGAAGTTCATCACGGCAAAGGTACCACTCACTAAGAATGATGTGGGTGGATGAGTGTGTGTGCACAGAAAGGAAACTGGGATTTTATTTTCTACCGTTACAGCCACAGGTTGGTGGAGAGGCTGGAAAGCTGGGCCCAGGTCCTGGCTGTAAGAGCCTGGGCAGGTGACTTAGCTTCCCAGGGCTCCAGGGGTGTAAGAATCTAAGGTGCAAAGAAGCTGCCCACCTACGTTGGTATTAGGGGGCTGCCATAGTGCCAATATGATCACCCAACCCCTCAGAAGAACAAGTAATGTGTATGATATTGTAATGGACAAAAAAGTATCTTATCTCAATGGCTGATTCTCCAATGAACCACCTTAGCTCCCAAAGAGAGGTGGCTGAAGGCCCTCCACAGGTACAGCGGCTACTGGGCTCTCCATCAGTTCTGAGGAGGCCCAGCCACAGCACTGGTCCTGTTGGACTTCCAAGGAAGACTGCCTTCTCTGCCTGCCATCTCCCAACATGGCAGCAGGGGCTCAGCTTACCCCACACATGGCCTGGCCTCCCTCCCCTGGACCATGGGAGGCTGTGGGCTGGGGAGGAGCTCCCTGTGCACTAAATGTCACACTGCAGAATAAGCCAAACAAGGAAACAAAACAAAAACCTATCATACTGAATCACGCTGACTGGGCACACAAGAAAAATGGAATGGGTATGAAAGGTACATTGGCTACTCTTGGCCAGGACCCCATGACCTGGCCCTACAAGAGCGGCTCCGGCCCAGCCCCACCCTCCCAACCTGCTCTGCCCCATCAGATTGTCAATACTTGCCTGTAAAGGACAGCAGGCAGGGCCGAAGTCTTTTGGGCACCGCCTTCCTTTTTGCTGGGCTTTCTCTCCTTGGGTGCTCGCAAGATGGCCGGTATGTTCAACTTCTATTGATGTAAACAATGCAGTTTTTAGGGTCTGAAAGACCACAGGCAATCCCCTTCTCCTTGTGGACCAAATGACAGTCCTCCCCATCCCCGACTGTCCCCCTGATGACCAGGGACAGACTGTTTGGCCATCTGGCCTGCCAGCCACCACTGGCTTCTGACAGGGTGGCCCGGGGGCAGCCAAGAGAGCCCCTCGCTCCTTTTCTTTAAGGAGAATACAGTCCCCGGCAGACAAGGCCACTTCCCAGAGGCGAGTGGAAAACAAAGAAGGGAAAGGCCTGCCTCTACCCAACAGAAGAAGAGGGAGGCCATTGTCCCAAGCCATGCTGGTGCTCCACAGATGAATCAGAAAAACGATCTTATTGGCCCAAGCTCTGCCCAAAGGTGGCCAAGACCCTCCCTGGACTTTCCCCCAGATCATGGCCATCTCTGAGCAGTGGCTTACCCAGACAGAACCCAGGGAGCGGGGTCTGGACAGGCACCTTCAGAGACCCTGCAAACAGCCGGCCTGGCAAGGGGAAGGAACAATGGAAGACACCAAGCTCTCTGAAGCCCACCTTAAGAGCCTCTCGCACCACCCACTGCTCCTCAGGCCTGGCGATTCAGTGCCACCCCACTCCTCAATGACAGCTAATTCGAACGCATGCTTTGCTAAAATAACTGATCTCAACTATATCACAGACTCTGCCCTCCTTGGAGTTCCGCTGCAGCCTTCTCTGAGCATCTTTCCACACCTAGCTGAGAAGAGGCACTTCTCTAACCCAAGGGTCATCCAAGAATCCCACCAGCATTCCTCCCAGCACAATGGCTCCTAACACTGAGCTGGCCGGGCACGTCTGTGCCAATGACCACAAGCACTCTGCACTCCTGAAGCAAGAAGCAGGCTGGTCCTTCAACACGACCACCTGCTCTTTGCTCTCCTTTGCCCTTCCCTCCCTAACATGTGGCCTTGCCAAAGGGGCAGGAGAGAATTTGCCATGATTAACTTGTGCTTGGGTCTGGCTTCATCACCAGTGACAGGGCAACCAGTGAGTGCAAATGGCAGAGTTCTGCAAACAAAACAGCTATTACAACAACAAAATTAAACTGTAGGTTTCCAAGGGGTAGTTTATGGAGCTCTCCATAGGCTTCAGTCAGAAATCATGATCCCCAAAGCATCACTTGGACTCAACCAAACACAAGCTGACAGATGGACTAGAAGACGATTCCTGGAGAATCATCTATGGAGCCACATGAAGGCTAGGGGACATCAAAGGGGCATGGCAGGAGAGAGACCCACCTGTCCAGTGATTCTGCCCAGCAAGGCCCAGATCCCTTGTCCTTCATTTCTGAGCTTTCCATTCAGGTTCTGGAGTTCTTCTAAAGATTCACACAGCTAATGAAAGGAAAGGAAGAAAAAGTCATGACAGGAAGGTGCTCCCCTGTGCCCCTCACCACACTGGCAGCTGTTTTACTTTCTGGTATGGCCCTGGGGGCTCTACTGGGGTGGGGGGGGGAACCTACCAGGAAAGGCTACAGTCTGGCCCTGAGGAATTCAGCAAGTGCCCCAGGCCTGCCAGCCAATGTGTGTGAGACAAGGCACTGGAACCTAGCCCAGGCCAGCCCCCAGGCCAACTATGTGGTCACTGTGCCTCACACTGCTCAATAGCGTGAGGTGGACTTCAATCCAAAGGTCTCTCGGACCCCCCAGTCACCAGAACATTCTTCACAGGTGTTCAGGGACCGCTGCATCTAAAAAACGTTTCGGTTACTCGGATGGAAAATGACTCAGAACAGACTGATACAGCTATCCAAGGACCCAAGAGATCATCTGTCAGAACTCTCATCAGCAACCACACGATGCCTGGCACTAGAGTGCCGTCCAGGTGACCAGACAGAAGGAGATGTGCCAGCGGCTCCCCAGATTAATGAAACACGCAGGGTGGGAGAGAGAGAGAGGAGCCGGGGCCTGAGGAGTGAAGGGCCTGAGAGCACGAGGCGGGGTAGTCTCGGCAGAAAGCGCAGCCTGCCCAGGCTCACACAGCCGGGATGTGCCAGGGCAGGCCTTCACTCAGGCCCTCCTCACCCACTGGCCAGCTCATGGACCTCTACGGCAAGTTGCCTTCAGGCTTAAAAGAAGTTCAAAAGCAAGGGCAACACCCTCCACTCTTATTTGGAAATGCTGCTAAAATACAATGCAAGTTTTCTTGTTGTGTCTTGTTTCCGTACTTTCCTAATGGAAGTTTAAAGTGTGAGCTCCTTCCAAATCCAGAAGAAAACAAAAATGAAACGGAAATCCTAATACATTCAGGGCGCTCCAAACGCCTCAATTCACAGAAACATGGCTGTGCAAATGTGCACGTGGAGTCCAGATCACGACATAACAATGGTGGCTAATATTTCCAGGGCACACTCAGGTCTGCACATCACTTCCTGCAGATGCCCTCACTGACCCTCTCAGGCACCACAGGAGGAGGCAGGTGCTGCTACATTTACAGTTTACAGATGAGGGAGTAGCTGGCCTATGGTCCCCAGGTTCACATGTGTCTGAGGCCACTTTTGAACTTGGGTCCCACAGACTCAAGGTGCAGCGCCTTATGGCAGCCCTCACGGGCCCCCTCGCACCCCTCCCAGGGCGTGTGGCGGCCTTGGCTGCCTGTGTGTGAGCCCAGCCTTCACTCACCTTGTTGTACTCCACGTGCAGCTTCTCCTGTTCATTTTCCAGCTTGTCCTTGATGTTCTTCTGCTCAGCCATGTTCTCCTGGATCTGAATCATGCGCATGTTTCTCTCTATTTAAAGCAAACAGACCACGTTACTTCACAAAATAAGAAAGTCCAGTGACATCGGCCACCCTCCCCTGCCCGAGGGAGCAGGCAGACATGCGTGCCAGTACTATCTGAGGGCTTGTCTAGGTGAGTCTAAGGCTAAGGAAAGAGGCACGCAGAACGTGACCTGTCCTGGCAGGGGGCTGGCTACAGGACTTGGCAGCAGCATGGAAGAAATGCTGGAGGAAAAGACTGACCAGACCTCACTGTGTGTGTGACCTGTCCATACTGACCAAAATAGTAGTTCACAAAGTCCGCAGTCAAAGCCGGCTGTTTGTGCTTTCGCCGCCCGTCCACACTGGAGCTAGTGTCTGACGTGTCCACGGGGAAGATGTCTGTGCTGATACCCATGAGCTCAGCTTTCCGCATCAGTTTACGAATGGCCGAGGCGCTGCTGGTCAGAGGCCGAGGCAGCTTTTCTCTGGGCACCCAGGCCTGAGGCCTGGTGGAACGAGCCAGTTCTGCCTTGGCCCGATACTGCTGCAGTCGCGCATTGATTCTGGCCTGGGAAAGAAATGCATTTCAAGTCAGTCTGAATATAAAGGAATAATCAATACATTTAAAAGACATAAAAATGGAATGCAGAGACCAATTAAATTCAACCAACACTGATTAACTACATATTGTGTGTTGGGACCACCCAAGGAAAAAGATGGGATATCCTCTGCCCTCAGGAAACAGGTACAGCACTGGAGGTGGGTGGAAGCAAAACGGAGGTGCCTGATGGATGGGGGAGGGGCTGCTGCACAGGTGCTGATACCTGAGCTGAGACAACCCCCACAGACCTTCCAGGCCTGCAGAATCATGGAGGCCAGAGGTGGAACGCTAAGGCTAAAGGACAGCAGAGGCTCACGGGGCTGGAACACAGCATGAGTGAGCAAAGGGCTAAAGCAACAGACAGACTACTTTATATACACAGCACACATAGCACTGCAACTGGAATAAGAATATTCCTGTGTGTATGTGTTTTGGGGGGGGGGGGTATGTGTGGCCCCAAGGATTTCCCTCATCTCTCAAGTGGATAAAGTTCTCCACGGTGCCCTCAGGAGAACTCCAAGGAGAAGCAGCTTGGGGATTCCTATGAACCAAAACTGCTTTTGGTCCTTCACAGTGAGTCAAGCTGGCCCCTGCACCACAGCCTGAACCACACCTCAGTGCCAACAAAGGCAGGGTCTAGCCGAGGGCAGGCCACCCCCTGCCAGGAGGCTAAGTCAGCTTCCTCTCCCCAAGTGGGTGCTGTCCTGGCAAGATCAAAAGGCAAGCTCGACCTCTCTCACTTCCTATTTTAAGGACATTTGTTTTCAAGATAAAAATGGCCCGATGGCCCATGGCACCGACCACCCCCTAGTGGCAGCTATGTGCTGGCTCACTCCTTCCAGGAGAATAAAACCTCTTGAAAGGTTAACCTGAAAACCTCAAAACCAAGAGGACGACAGCAATCGGCCCCAAAGGATTTCAAAAGGCCTTCTTTCTCCACCAATTCTGGCTCTTACTGTAGGTTCTAAGAGCCCACCCAAGTGCTTGTGTAGGCCTGATGCCCCTCCACTCTCAGGAATGGCTCAAAAGCACCAAGTCGGACCCTGGGAGGGTGGGAGGAGGTACCTGGGCCTCAGGGGACAGCTGCTTCTCCCTTTCTTGCAAAGACATCTTACAGTAAGACTGTAGCGCCAGGTAGTTTTTCCTCTTCCACTTTCTGTCTAGTCTGTCTGCATGCTGTTTGCAATAAGCAAAAAATGGGTCGGCTATATCCTAGTATCAAAAAAGAGAGGAAGATAATTAAAGGTGTCCATCTCAACAATGGTAATACAAATATCAAATCAGCTAACATTTATAAAGGGCTTGGCAAACCTTGAAGTACCATCTAAATGTTAGCTATTATTATGCATTAACATAAAACTTAGCTTTCTGTTGAATATCACTACAGAATGATAATTACTTCAAGAATGACTAAAGGCAGTAACTCCTGAAAATCATGTATGTGACTGCTCCTTCAACCATAATCTACATGAAAAAATGGTTTCAGTATGAAGAGTTTGTCTTGTACTATGTCAGTATATATTCATTAATACTCAGAATGAAAATAATTTTAACTGACTGAAAAATCACATGGGAAATTTTAAAACTCTAAACAGATGAAATTTAAGAAACGTTTTGGCAAGATAGTAGACAGAGAAAACTGAGTTTTGTTCATTTTTTCCCCAAAAACCTAATCTGAAAGGACAGAAAGGCAACATGGCATAGTGGGAAAAAATGAGGACTTCAAGTCCCGGGGACTCAGACCCTGGTAGGAGAGGCATGTGACAAATGTCTTCAGGGTCTCATCAACCTCTACCACCTCTCAAATCAAGAGAGGAACCAAGGTCTCACACACAGCTCCAAAGGGTACTGGGATGAATTTAGGGAAGTCAACAAAGATGTTCTGAAAACCACAAAGAGCCATACAAATGAAAGGTACTTTCCAATTATTTCTATAGTTTTTAAAATCAATCTCTTTACAAATGCATAATTTACAAAATTTTACAATTTTAAACTGGACTTTCAATGAATTCTATCAATAAGATTTTCTTTTAAAAAAACAAAATTTTACGTCTATAAAAGCAATGTTTCTGTAAAATACAAAATGCAAATACATGTAAATTACCGTTTAATAAACAAATTCTGAAGCTGCAGCTTTTTTGGCACGGGAAGGAAAGCAGGCAACTAGCCTCTCTAGGCCTATGCTTTAATCACAGGAACCAACCACCAACATTTACATACCTCATCAAGGTTGACTAACGCGTTACACCCAATCTCACTGGGGTCTCCAAACAATCTCTTGAGGGAATTAGTATAACAGGAATCATCTCCATTACACAGAGGACAAAACTGGAATTCAGAGTGGGTCACTGACTTGCCCAAAGTCACAGAACTGGTCAATGTCAGCGAGAGATGATTCAAACCCAAGCTTTTCCAAAAGAAGGAAAAATAAAAGCACTCCCAAGGCTGGCTTCAAAAGCTGCCAGCAGAACGTAAATGGAAAAGCAAAGGGTGGCAATGAGACAGCTGCCGTTTGGGGTGCTAGCCTCTTTGTCTGTTCTTCTCTGTACATGGAAGCTGGGCATTTCACTGAGTTGTTTAAACAGACCCAGAGGCCAGGCTCCCTCTCTCAACTCTCCAAATTTCACACAAAGGTCCATTAAAAAGCATCACAAGCTATTACTCTGCCGGCTCCCTCAGAGAGGATCTTTTTGGAAACGACAACTGAGGATCCATTTCCTCCATCAAAGCAGAGCCTGGAGTTGAGGCAGGGTCAGAAAGAGGCCCACGGTGGCCCACACAAGGTTTGAAAACCCCTGTGCTCCCAACCCCATTTCACAAAGGGGCCCCCCCAAGCACCCAACTGACTGCCTGACAGACAAATAAACACACGCACACTGTGGTGCAGAAAGGAATGTTCAGCTAGAGCAACACCAAAAAGTGCTCTTGACTGGGCCTCTTCATGGGCTCCAGGCCAGATGCTACCTCCTTGGGCCACCCTCAGGTGCCAGCTGTAAGCGGAGGAAGCTACCTAGATGCATGGGGAAAAGGATACAAATTTACTTTTCTCTTTTCCTGGGATCATCTCAATGCTTCTACTTACTTTACTGAAGAGATGTGGAAGGACACACACACACACACACACACACACACACCCCTTTCTTTTGGAGGGCTTTGTGTACATCTAATTTCTACAAGGCTTTGGGAGGCATTAAGGTATTCTTAGCAGCAGATTTACCTTCCTAATTACATTCTGTCTAGCATAAAACTAAAACTAATTAGTTTGCCTGTCCTAAGCTCACCGCTAGAATGGAAGGCCTAATTCCACAATGCGCTACCCAGACCAGGACCGGCCACAGTCACTTGGCCCTTTAGCCCCTCATCTGGCCACTGGCCTGCACCGCCTGGGCCCATCCCAGCAACCTTGCTTTCTCTTATCCCCACATTCAAGTCAAGTCTCTTGCACAGCATTTAGTGTTCAACAGGATGCTTTCAGCCACTAGGCTTTCTGCCAATATTTGTTGGTGAATTGTTCTTCGTGTTTAAGAACAAAACAAAAAAAGGCAGCACAGGATTTTGAACGTATTATACATGGCCTGAAAGAAGATATGAGAAGAAAATTCCTGCCCCAGCCCTCTGCAAAGGCAGGCGTCCATAAATGTTATACATTACATATATTTTCAGACTTTTTCAATGTATTCATCCGTTTTGATGATTTCTTTCCCCTTCTTTTTCTTTTGTCTTAAAAAATGCTATTTGAGTGGATAGAGGCCCTGGAGTCAGGAGGACCTGAGTTCAAATCCGGCCTCAGACACATAACACTCACTAGCTGTGTGACTCTGGGCAAGTCACTTAACCCCAAATGCTTCACCAAAAAAAAAAATTGCTATTTGTTATATGAGATGGGCCTCTGGGAGGGAGAATGAGGACAGATACTGGGGAAAACAATGTTACTATTAAAAAACATCAATAAAAATTCTTTTTAAAATTTAAAACGTGTATTACATGCAAAACAATTCCTAGGCTGCATCCCATAGCAAAACTGACCATTATATCTAGATTCAAATGCATTCTCATGATTTAATCACCTAAACAGTCAGCACCAGGTCACTGTAAACTCTGACTTGTATGGTACCTGGTGTGGCGCCCTGTACACACCTCATCCCCAGCACCCAATCTACTGCCCAGTATGGACAACAGAGAAAGTCTGTGTCATCACAAACCAGCACCTGTACATTAGCAGAGATTTTCACAAATGACAGCAATTGAATTCAGGTCAGCATTTTTCTACTCCAATGCGAATTGACTTGAACTATGTACCTAGATGCTTTCTCAGCTGAGAAGCGAAGCAAAGAACTGCAAAGACATGCCCATTAATATGGGCTTAGCTAAACAAAGCATGACACAGGAATGTAAGGAAACATGACCACAACGTGGAATGTGAAGAATTCAGAGGAGGCGAAGACTCGCAGGAGCTGAGACAGAGTGAAGGAAACCCAACCAGGAAGACAATCAACAATACAGTGACAAGAGGATGAAGGAGAGGAGCAAAATCAAAATGGAATGCTGTGAAATTACGACAAACAGGCACTGCCCCAAAGGGAGACAAGAAGGCAACTTCCTCCCTTCTCTAAGGAACAGAAAGAAGACTACGGCTATGGAACAGGATAAAGAACACTGGGTGTGGCTGATGAGCTGCTTGGTTTTTCTGAACCTCCAACCACTCTGGAGAGCAATCTGGAATTATGCCCAGAGTTATTAGCCTATGTATACCTCTGACTCAGCAAAACAACGAGCATGTTTCCAAAGGCGATCAGGGAAAAGGGAAAAGAACCTATATGTTCTAAACTACTTATAGTAACTCTCTTTGTGGCGGCAAAGAACTGGAAAGTGAGGGGATGCCCATCAATTGGTGAATGGCTGAACAAGCTTCGGAATACGGTTGTGATGGAATACCACTGTGATATAAGAAATGATGAGCAGGTTGACTTTAGAAAAACATGGAAAGACTTGCAAGAAATAATGAAAAGTGAAATGAGCATAACCAAGAGAACACTGTATGCAGTAACGGCAATAATGTTCAAGAAATACTTGTGAACAACCAAGTTACTCTGAGTATTATACTCAAATCAACTACCCAGGACCTATGAAGAAAGATGCTATTCACTTCCAGAGAAAGAACTGATGATGAACAGAAGTACGCATAGTATGGTCTTACATACATTTATAAAATCTATGTCAAACGGCCTTCTCTAGTGCAGGGTACGGAGGGTTGGAGATAGTTCAGAACTTAAAATGCAACACAAAAAATTAAATTAAAAAGAAGGAAATTCAGTTACACGGAACATATTTCTTCCTAGAAAAAAATGTTTTATCAATGCTTCTTCTTTGAACACTTCATTTCCCGATGGGGCATTTCAGCACCTGACGTCCTTTCTAGTAAAGCTACTGCTTTTCAATGCATGTGATCAATTGCATATAGACACGGTAGTTCAGCCTTGACTGGTTTCTAACCTGGGCAGCAACATTAGTTGTCCAGAAGAACATGTAATAATGGTATCTCTCTTTTTTGGGGTCTGTGTACAATAATGCATCAGGCTTCAGTCCAAAGGACCAATATGTAAAGCTTGTTTTTATGGAAGTAATTAATGTCACTTAAAAAAACAGATATAAAGAACTCCTGGCAAGGAAATACCCTCTACCAATGCAAATCAGCAACTGCCTTTTTAAAAATATATATTTTTTTCCAACTACATATGAACATTTTTAACTTTTTTTTTTGAGTTCCAACTTCTCTCCCTCTCCCCTCAATGAGAAGACAAGCAATTTGATATAGGTTAAATGTATGTAGTCATGCAAAACATATTTCCTATTAGTCGTGTTGTAGAAAAAAAAGAACAAAAACAATAAAAATTTTTAAAAAGGAAAAATAAAGTAAAACATGAAACTACCAGATGGCAACCATTGCCATTACCACCCATCAGTGACCCACTGCAGTTAACTACTCTTTCCACTGAATGGAATTTGTCTTAAGTACTCCTTATGTTATTGTTACATCAATTACAAAGTGGATTAAAAAAACTTTTAATAATGATGTAGCCCACCAAGACCTCAGGTTTTATTTTCCTAGGAATTGCTGACCTAGCTAGATTCTCACCCCTAGACTCCAGGCTGGGGAAGCTGACTATTTTTACTCCACCTTCGGAACTTTACACTTTCCCTGGCTGTTTACT